TGGTTTGAAAACTGAGTCTGCCAATGGTGCCGAGCTAAATTTGGATGACAGCAGTGAAAACCTCCAGCAAACACACAGATAGGCCTATCCCTGATTTAGCCTCCAAACATTCTGTCAGTGCTGATGCCTATCACTGTAATAACGTGCGAACGGTTTTAAATCTGACTAAAGCAGTGCTGGACAATCTCAATCTGGCTTTTGTTGCTTTGAAAGGAAATCATTTTCGCGTCTTGCTCAATTGCTCGCTCGCCCCTTGAGCAATGCGCCGTGTTCACACCCTCCACCCCTCACTCTCCCCCTCTTCTGTCTTATTTCCTCGTGTTTTTTGCGGTTTTAGACTTCAGGTAATAGGAAATGGCATTGACCCCTCCTGATCCCCCGATTACCTTTGTGAAGCGTGCACGCGCCACAGAATCACACGTCATGAGGCGGCTCGATGCCATCAGCACGGATCAATCACGCGCTCAGCCGCGCGCAGGAATGCAGCTCGCGGACACGGTCGGAGCAGCCGCGGCCCGCGCTGATTGACAGCTCTGGTAATTAGGTGATTGTAAAGACCCTTCTGACTGCTAGAACAACGTTGTCAGGGCCGGTCTGTGGCCGGAGCGCACAAATCAATGTGCTTTCCTTGAGCAAGCATTGAGTAGACCAGAAAAACTAACAAAGAGGATGGGCACTCATGTGATGCGTGTCACCGTCGCTTACTTAAATTTACATTCTAGTTCTTGAATTGATTGCTGTTTTACGTAAACAAAACCAGACAGAAACGAGACGGCGCGCCGCTTTTCTCCTCTCCAGCTTTCGCTCTCATTTTAACATTTGATTTGTGTGTTAGAATTAAAACTGTAATTGATGTTCATCTAGGCCACGAGCCCTACTGTGTCCTTCTTCGAGGCTTATTTCCCGTTCTTGTTTGCCTTTGGATTAATACTAGCTGCACTTCAAATTAAACTTGAATGTCACATGTTTTATTACAGTGTAAATTCAACCACCGTTGAAAGGAGGGGGGGGGGGGATTCTGTTAAGATCTAGTAAAAACTGTAATATTGGGATCCTGAAAGCTACTGTTGTAAATGTCACAGCTCACAGAGTGCACCGACCTTCCATACACGAGCTTCTAAAATAATATTTTCTGTTAAATTTTGACTTTTATAACAATTTTAATGTGAGCCTTTTTCTGTACGCTCAAATAGACATGTTTAGAGAGAGAGAGACAGCTAATTTGTCATCTGTCAGACCCATGATTCTCTGATTAAAGATGCGTATTTGTCTGAGACTTTTTTTGCAGTCCCTGCTCAAGCGAACCAGTTAAATGCATTCCTTACTGTATGTTTTTATGTCACCTGAAATACATATTAACCTGTCAAATTACATATTTATGTCTCACTAAAACATTTTTTTCGCGTGCAAATAATTAACATCCATTGAAAATAAATTTAACATCGCATTTCCGCTGGTAAGATAAAGCATTATTTGCAGTTGTTTAAAAGACATGTCAGTTGAAATTATATATATATATATATATATATATATATATATATATATATATATATATATATATATATATATATATATATATATATAATTTTATTGTGGATCTATAATACTTTCATATTCATTAATAATTGCAAATCTAACAACTCACACAGTAGTCTTTGACGTCGTGATTCAGATTGGAGGCTTAGTATAGGCACCTATGCGGCAATTCAGTGGTGTTTATGTAAATGTTAAATAAATATTCTTATCAAGTCTGGAAAAAGGCACTATAGTGTCATTTTTGCTCACCCGTAACAAATGTATTAAACAACACAGACAATTGAGAATGGTTTCGATATTGCTCATTTAAATATTTAAAACACTTTTTAAAAGTTTATTTGCAGTGTATGTGCCTGGTTAGTTTTTGTCTGATAATTAGATTGCGAACCCGTTTATCTTCTCTGGCGTTTGATAAACTTAAACGCATAAGGCAGAACTCGTTATATAAAAAATAGCATAAAAAATCATCGGTAATTAATTATTATTCAATTAGCAAAACAGTTTAACTTGTTTCTGTCATGCTAGACTACTATATATTCTGGATTTGTTTTTGCTAAATTTTATGAATATTCTGTTGGGTATGTTTCATTAATGATTATAAAATTAACGCAAAAAAAACAAAACTATTGAGAGTAAATTTACCGTTATTTGACTTTATGTTGCAGAAGTGAAACGACCTGTGTGCCTGCAAACAATGAGAGGCCTTCAGCGGTCGAGAGGTGACAGTTTCAACAGAAAGCCGCAAGGGGAATCAATACAGTGCAAACTACAATTTCACTGTCCGATCATCGACCATCAGCCCTGGCCGATCGGATGATACCCTGGCTGGTTGTATTCAATTTGTTCCAGCAGCGTCCTTAAACCTAATAAAGCAATTGATTGAGGCTCAATGAGCTGCTGCAATTAGTGAACTGTTAATGAACATGCTGCTGGAGTCTCATGAGATTGACTGGCGTGTTCTACCATTGCTTTGATTTTCTTCAACGGAAAGACATACATTGCCAATAGATCGTTTTCACATATCTTCAGGCAAAACAAATTTTCAGTCCCCTAACTCAATTAGTTAGTACATTTGAATATACTCTTAAAAGGACAACCATATCTGTAGACTAGGACAGATATTATTTGACCAAATAATTATTTGTATAGGGAAATATAGCCTATATTCTAATATATTTTAAAATAAATAAAACTTTTTTTTTTTAAATCTACATAATACCTTTAGTCGTGACAGTCAAATAGTTGCCCAAAGTCACTACTAGAAACTATATTAATTGCATCATTTAATCATCGTAAATATCCAAGTCATCTATTTAGACATTTATACGAATTTGGATGTTGGTAAAACTTGATGTCTGTGTTTGCATTGTGGTTTTGCCCTGCATTAACCAGCAATCTTCAAGTGATTATTAACATGAACTTTGAGATAGCTTTGTCGCCGCCTAGTGTTAAGCATATTACTGAACATGTCAGAAAGTGTGTGTTACAGAAGAATTTAACAATTAGCCAGGACTTTTCCTTATTTCGGTTCAGGACAATATCCCAACATTTTAAAAATTGGACCATGACCAGAGAAGCAAAATACTTATATATTACAAACTGGTATACCTGTATACATCCTTTTAGAAAATCAGATTTCAGAACCCTTTATTTTAATATTATGGGTAAAAAATCATGTCGCAACAAAATATGTGACAGAGAAAAAGCTATTGTAAACAAAATAAACTTATAAATAAAACGTTTGTTTGAAAAAAATACAAAATACAATAAATTCGTGTAGATAATTTCTTATTATAAATTTTTAAACAGTGTTAACATTTCTAGTGTTTGGTAAAGCTTTACTCTGTCAAAACAAATCGTTTAACCAATAGATTGTAAATATAGGCTAGATTAAAAAGCGAACATACAACCAACACATTTTTGATAGTAGATTATTAAGCAAGGTTAACAAAACATGTTAACGAAATACTTTGCAACAAAAAAGCCAGTTTAATACATGGTACTAGTAAATTGTAATAGTTACAATTTTTCATTATTACAAAAAATATACATAGCCTGGTTTTGAACAGTTAAAATTTTTTGGGGAAAAAATAAATAATTAAAGCGGTGCGTATAACAAACCTAAACGATTCCTCCCACGTCGCCCTGCTATAAAAATAGTGGAAATAATCTCGGTTCGGTCCGTTACAGGACGCAAATGCAAACAGGTTTTGGGAGCACAGTAGAGTGATCCACAGAAAACGACAGAGAACGCAGCAGCCTGATATGAACAGCTCTGAGTCCGTCTGTTTAAGAACATGTACAGTATACGCTCAGATACCTTCATATAGCCTATATCGCACAGTCTCAGTATTAAAATACTAATTCCATATTAACTGTTGTAAACCGTAATTTAAACATACAAATTAAGTATTGCAAAATAAAGTGTTAAGCCTTTAGTTTGTTTATCAAATTAATATATTTATAATGTTTAACAAGATGCGATAGTTAATTTTGTCTCCCCAGATTGAAATAATTCAATTTAGCGCACTTTGTCTTCTATTATGTAAACACATTAACCGAAAATAAACTGATTTCTAAAGCTATTATAAGCCCAGGGTTTATTTAGAAGAAAATTGTCATCATATGAGTCGGGCATATGCCATGTACAATATTCGCCATCATTTCATTCCCTTGAGCTATTTAGAATCAGTGCTTTCACTCAAAGGCCCTGACACACACAATGACAATCAGCTCCAAACGGGCTTATTTCTCTAACACTTTTCACTGTGTCTGTGCTCTTAAAAGAATAATGACACAATTTTGTTTTGCCAACAGGGATTACGGTGCTGTTTTATTTTGGGAAAACATGATAAAATTACCATTTAAAGACTAGCTTAAAGTACAGTGAATGGATACTAAGAAAGTCAATAATTTAATAATACAATTCAATGCATTGTTCAATCAGTATTTTTTTTTATTTAATTTTGTTTTATTTCTTCGTATGTAAGACTACGTTTTGCAATTGTAATTAACAATGGCCGCATCAATGTTTCAGCGTAATCGATTCGATATAGCACCGCGTAATTTTTGGTGAGCTAAAGCCTACGGTTATTTTGTGGAACAGCAATATATTTCATGTTGTTATAACAGTTTAGTAATAAGTTTTAGCAACAAGAAATATGCATAACATGCAAACATTGATGCAAAGTGTTACCGTAAACGCATTTATGTCTAATGAAGATGCCGTCTGAGACATTATAGCGAAGGGAAGGTTTCAAAAGAGCATTGAGGAATCAATGAGTGCCTCTAAAGTGTAATGATGAAGTAAAATACGCTGATTGGACAGACGCGTGACCATGTATCCAATGAGAGGAGAGACAGAGAACACGAGGAGTGTGTTATAATAAAGGAGAAAATATGACGTCAATGTAGGAAGTCATTGTAGAGCAACACTACAACGATTAGTGGCAAAAGGGAGCGTGATGTCGAGGAGTTAGAGCATCCCAATCTCTCCACACCTCAACTTTGAAAGAAAGTTCAATAACCATAACAAAAGGACGTGGACTACACAGATCCACTTGCTTTCCACATTTCACCTTGAATGTAACCAAAGCTCGGAGCGCAGGCTATATTTCTCTTTTTTTCTTTGCTTAAGTGCAAGGATTTTGTTTTTGTTTTGTTTTTTGTTTGCGCGTACGAAATGTTTATTTTGCACTTTTTCGGGGCTTTTTTGCTGCGCTAATTGTTTAGTTCTGGTATTTTTGTTTGTTCCGTTTAAGTTTTTTTTTTTTTTTTTTGGTTGTTGCCGTTGTCTTTTCTTTTTTATTGTACAGGAAAGTTGTTATGAAGACGACTTGAGTGCTCATCCTTTTCTTATACTATGGAAGGATCCAGTGGGGCTAGTTTCGGAATAGACACTATTTTGTCCACAACAAATTCTGGCACCTCAGTACTGATGAACGGAGATTTTCGTCTCGGTGACAGTAGCAGAACAGCGGATTTCAGGAGCCAGGCGACCCCATCACCATGTTCGGAGATAGACACTGTGGGAACAGCCCCCTCATCCCCGATTTCGGTCACGATGGAGCATCCCGAACCGCATCTTGTCCAAGACAGCCTTCAGCATCACCATCACCATCATCATCACAGTCAGGCTCAGAGTTTGCAGCTTTCACCTCAGCCTCATCTGCTCGGTCAGGCTGGTTGTGCCCCCAGGACTGCCACCTCCTCCTTTCTAATCAAAGACATTTTGGGCGACAGTAAACCGCTTGCAGCGTGCGCTCCTTACAGCACCAGTGTACCATCTCCACACCACAGCCCCAAAACAGAGAGCGGAACCGCCCCGGACGGCATCAGGCCCAAACTAGAACAAGATGAAAACAGAAGCAAACTGGACAAAAGAGATGATATCCAGAGTGATTTGAAATGTTTGAACGGTAAGATTACGTTTTACAAGCCAAAAATTTTAATAATTAGGGTAATAGGAAAATAGAGGACACAATATTTTTATTAATTAAACTTGTCTGAATACATGTTAACACAACTGACTCAATTATCTACGTGTAGTTTTTTTTAAAAAACCATCAAAAGTTACATGAGATGCATGTACAAATAGTATTATTACGTTATAATTACTTGTGTGCAAAGTAATATGAAAATTGCATCGTATAGCAAAGCAAAAATATTATTATTGCTATAATATTAAAAATAATAATAATGGTATTATTATTATTATTATTATTATTATTATTATTATTATTATTATTATTTTAACAACAAAACAACTTACTCAAAATTAATTATTGCAAATCTAAATATATATATATATATATATATATATATATTAAATCTCACAATTCTTCACATTTGATTGTTCATGCCCACATTAAACAGAACAACCAAATTAGCACGCATTTTACATAAAAAGTAAACAAATCTTAACTCGGCTGTAACAATAAACCGAATGAACTAAACAAGGTGACATGCATTCGGTGGTACACAACACCGTTAACATTTTCAGATTTTTAAATATTATTAAAAATATATCGTACTACATTAAATACAAATTAAAGTCTTTGTTTATTTTTGTCTGTATTTTCATTACGAACCAGTATTACAATATAATAACAATGTTGGTAGCCTGTCACCGAGGTTATTCTCAGATATTAGCATAACAGATGTAAAGGCTGGTGAATTTTGCCCGGTGTGGGATCCTCCCTAGTGAGTCAATTAGAGAGATTATTGTTCTTCCTTGAGGGGGGATCACGGAGCCCTGCAAAAACTGCTACAAATAGAGATAGATTGACATATCGATCCTGCTCGTTTTGAGGTAATATTTTTGCCTACATGCAAGCGACCTAATTTATTTAGTAGCCAAATATTTTTGCATAGCATGTATTTGACATAAAGATAAATTTAACCTAAGCATAAACAGTTTTAGATTTGCGTGTACATCCAAGGCCTGAGAACCACAGGTTCAAAATAAACCTTCTAAATAATAATTACTAAATGTTTAAACTGTTCTCATGTTGAATTATCTACATAAACTGTATTCAATTAATATAGGCCTATACATCAACACGTTTTACATACAAAAGTACAAAATAAAAAAATAATAAAAACATTTTCACTAACTTCCATGCATTAACTTGTTTAGGAACAAAAGAAGAGGGCGATCGGGAAATTTCTAGTTCCAGAGACAGTCCACCAGTCCGTTCTAAAAAACCTCGCAAAGCGCGGACGGCCTTCTCCGACCATCAACTTAACCAGCTGGAGCGCAGTTTTGAGAGACAGAAATACCTCAGTGTACAGGACCGAATGGACCTGGCAGCAGCCCTAAACCTCACAGACACACAAGTAAAGACTTGGTATCAAAACCGACGGTAAGTGTCATATTAATATTTATGAATATTATTTTTGTTATGGCTCACATAATAATAATAATACTAATAATAACAATAGTAAAATTGCATTTTTTATTTTATTGTTTTGTATCTGCATTTAAATCTGTTTTACAGTTGCCAAAAGTTGAGATTTAAATTTTCGGATTTTATTTAGGCTATTTATCAAGATGTATTATTATGTTATTACTTATTGGTTACGCATTAATTTTATTAAACAGCATTTTTTTAAATAAACGATGCAACCTAATATGAATCAAATAGCTTTCACAGGCTGTCGGAATTTATATTTTATATATATTCACATTAAAGGATTAAAATTTAAATTGTTTAAATTATCATGATCAGTAATAGGCTCAAAATTATCTTCCTTTCTTTCCCAAATGCTTTTTCTTTTTTAGTATTGATTAGATTTTTAAGTTATTACATTTATATAAGTAGCATTATATTCATTATTACATTTATTATTACATGTATTATTCTCTCAGCTATTTAGTAAATTTATCGTATGGTAACTGTACTAGAAATCATACCTTGGCTAAATATAAAAGCAGGTTATATCAACGTGAATAAATAAAATAAATACAAACTAAAATAATAATTTGTGACCAAAAAACTAGTAGCATGTTTCTCGTTTTCTTTTCTTTTCATTTTACCTTTCAAGCTATTTAGGCCCGTTGCTTAAAATTAAGCTTACCCAATTAGGTTTGTGCCAGAATCAAACATATTGAAAAATCTGGCCCATAAGGTGCCATGTGGATAGTTTAATAATTGATTTCGTGTATTTTGATCTCATTACAGGACGAAATGGAAGAGGCAGACGGCTGTCGGATTAGAACTGCTGGCTGAAGCTGGAAATTATTCGGCCTTACAGAGAATGTTTCCTTCCCCGTATTTCTATCATCCGAGTTTATTAGGAACCGTGGACAGCACGACAGCGGCCGCAGCCGCCGCTGCCATGTACAGCAGCATGTACCGGACTCCGTCCACACCGCATCCGTCTCTCCAGAGACCGCTCGTCCCCAGAGTGCTTATTCACGGCCTGGGGCCCGGGGGACAACCGGCACTAAACCCCATACCAAACCCAATTCCGGGCACACCGCATGCTCGGTAAAACAAGAAGACACTGAGAGACAAATGTATCACAAGTGATGTGACAGACTGAACTTTCACAGAAGCTTTTTTTCCTAAAAAAAAAAAAAACAAAACACCGAGAGACGATTTTTATCGAAGACAAAGATGTATTATTTAATATGGACCATTTCTGACTTATAGGCCAAACTGAACCAGTCGAGCCTGTGACCGTGACAGTAAAAGGACTGTTCATTGTCAAATTGTTTGTTTTGTCTTTTTTGGTACAAATACACTTATACTAGTACATACGCTTATAAAGTTTAATAGATTTAAAGAAAAGGTGAAATAAAGACCAAATGATTTTAAAAATGTAATGTCGGACGCTTTCTCTTGAAACCAGCCGTGTATGTTTAGGCCTACTGCTTTAAACCTTTTAATTTTGGGGCTGTTTTAAAAAGTATTATCCTTGATTACTGCAAAATTTAACAAGGATATGCTACATCACGGGGACTGATTTTAGCATGCGTTTTGTAAGACGATTAATATTATTTTTATTGCAAGTTAAACATTTAAATATTTAAAGTTTAACTATTATGAAAATGTATATATAATGTAATGTATATATGCAGTTGTAACGTGCAAGTTAATTTTAAGAGGAATTAACAAAACCTCATATAAAAACCTTTAAAATTTAGCCTATCATATAACTTAGCCTACTTAGGCACAGCATATAAATTCTTTGTAAACTCGATATGCCCGTCTGAACTCATTAGCATAGGCGTGCATTCAAGTAAATCTCGGGACCGGTCTGCTATATGAGAATAAATGGTTTGATGCGTTTGCTCTGGGAATGTCGAAGCTGCTCTCGGTCTGGCAGCTGTTCTGTGGGAGAACCGCCGCGGACAGACAGCAGGCGTGAGCCTTCTCAGCGTGAGTGAATTAAAAGAAACATTTCGCATAAACAATTATAGACCTCTGCAGAACTCTCCCGAGATTAATATGAGCTATTTGTCATTCGTTTTAATAAGCGATCCGCGATTAATGCTGCAGAAAACCAGACCAGAGCAAACCTTTCTCTTCCTCGTATAGCCCTCTTCAAAAACTCCAATTGTCCCGTCTGTTTGTTATTAGTTTTAATATTAACATTAGCCTATTATTAATTATTATTACTATTACTATTTTTTGAGTCTCTCTTTTTGTCAAATAGATTTTCCAATCAGTGCTAATTCTAAAGCACATTTCTGACGTTAAGCAAATGTATTATTTGCCCCCAGTCACTGGATGTGTACAGTCCTATAAAAGTGTTCTAAAATGAACAAACGGAATTAAAAAAAAGACACAGTTAATCGAAAATAGAAACCAGAGATCGCCAAAGATCACAAAATACAGAATTCATGAACGCACTATTTTATATCCGGACTCAACGAATTCATTCATTAATTCGTTCGTTTGTTAATTAATTAATTTATTGGTAGGTTGGGCAACTGGTTGGCCAACGAACATTTTAAATGGAAAAAATAAAGTAGGCATAATGTAATCACGTGTTTCTTGGGGGAATTTTAATTAAATGAACATTACAATGCTTTTCTTTTTTTTTCTTTTTGGGAATGATAACATCCCCTGGAGGACCGAATAGACTGCAGGGTAAAATAGCCCCAGGGCGCGTTTGTTTGGGCTCCTCTAATTGGAGAATTGGTTGCTGATTTTTGCGCTGCTAAATTCTTATTAAAGCCAAGATGACCTTTGCTGTTGTTTGAAACAATGCAACATGGATACATCAGGGCATGCCTTACTTTTTTTTTTTTTTTTTTTTTTGTCATTTAAAGAAAAGACAAAACGTTCATATTAAATTTATCTAAAAAAATCATAAACGAAGTAAATAAAAATAGACAAACGAAATAAACAAAAACACATACGAGTTGAAGAAGAAATTGATTTCTAAATGAACTATATATATATATATATATATATATATATATATATATATATATATATATATATATATATATGCTAAAACTAAACACAAACTAAAAAGAGAGAAAAACGCTGTTAAATAAAAACAGGGCAGTTGTCGGATGTCTTGGCTAAAGTTGTAGATACACACTTTTAAGGATTTGCAGAATATTCGACAAAAAAAAAAAACAGTCAGCTGAAATTTTTTTTTATCAAACTAATAAAAAGATGGCAACCATCTGAAGATTTTTATTTTAAAAAGCTAGTGATTAGCTGAGTTATGCTGCACTAATGCATGTACAATTGCCAAGCAACTGCATTTAAAATAATCCAATAATGTCGTACCTTTATTATTTGGCATGAGTGAAATAATTTGTTTTTATTCGTTATACGTTCATTGCTAAAAATAAATAAATAAAAACGCATTTCGAACATTTCAGTCAGTATGTACCTCCAAATAAATATAGCACATGTCTATAGTAAGAATTTATCATCAATATTGATTCTCACAAATAAATAAATAAATGAAAACTCCGAGTTTCTCAAACCGTTGTTATTGAGAGTTATTCGGAAAGTTAATCAAGTTCAATTGTGAATATTGATTTAAATATTTATAGTTATATTATTTGATTTCAGGGCAATCAAAGCTGTCTTTGGGTGTTTAGCTCATATTAGAAATCCCGAGAAATAAACCCCCAGGACAAACAAGCTACCTCAAGACTACGTTGTATTATTTTGCACTAAGCTTTTGTTCTCTCTTTTTTTTTTTTTTTTTTTTTTGTGCGCCACCAAGTAAATTGTGAATAGCTTAAGAGGCACTTCTAGGAAACTTCATATCAATTTAATTCAGAACTGATGCTTGATAGCGGCATCCTTAAAATGTTGTTGGTTTGCAAATGCTTAATTTGCTGTGGCCTTCTGGCCAAGATCTTTTTTTATTTAACTTATGGTTAAAACCAAAGGGCGGAAATGAGGGGAGCCTGGCACTGCGTAACGAGCTAGGTGAGAGGAGGGGTGTTGAAATTAAAAGAGGATGTTCAGACCTTTCATTTACATGACACACATTATACGGAACAGATTGCTGCAAGGAATTGGTTTGTTCTTGTTGCTTCCAGTAGCCCAAGTAAGGCTTTGTAATTGCCACATTTTCCAGCTGATGTCATGTTAGGGATGTCTTACTTATTATCCTAATGAGGGAAAGGCACCAGCTCTCAGAGGCCCGCTCATTACCACATTACTTGCTCACACTTAACGCATCATCTTTCATACGCAAACGGCAGGGACACATCCAGTCGAACTTCTAGAAGATGGTCACGTTGCAAGGTCACTCACCGTATCGTCGAAAGGCGACAATCAGTCGTGTGGGATTTAAATGATGCACTCAATGCCCGAGTCATCGCAGTGCCTTGCAAAACAGCAAGGAAGCGCACATTAAGCGTCTGGGTGTCCCTTAATTATCGTGGGTTGGATTCTTAATCTTGCCCTGTGGTGATGGCGAGGTGTCAGGATGATGAATTTTAAGATGGTAGGTTGTCAACGTGTACATTTTCAAAGCTGACTGAATTGGAGGAACGGTTGTAACAAGGTTAGAATCGTTTAAAGTGTGAAAGGGGATTTCTGCCAGGAGGCAGGGATGGTTGACAGGCATCTTTATGTATCTCTGTATTAACAGCAAGTTTTAGAAATTTTAGTGAAGGTGTGAAATGGACTAATCTATCTTTTAAGACGCCTGGTTGTGATTTAGAAATAACCGCTCATAAACACTCCAACGATTCATCAACACTCAAATGTGTTTTTATCAAGACCCACTGCTAATATCCATGGCCACTTTGCTTTCAACAGTCTCAAAAGCAGAAAATTCGACAGTTATCTGGCTGAATTAAATAAAATAGGAACACAGCGTCATGGGATTGCGAGACAAAACTGTTGAATAAACAGATTTGAAACGTCTGTTTTGTACATTCACATTTTTACATTGTTTATAAGCACAAAAAAGAGAGTTAAAATGTCAACAAATATGAAAAGACACCCCAGATTTATGTAAAAAGAAAAAAAAAAATCTAAAATGTAGCATATACCCAGCTAATATGTATTCATTGTTGACTCGATAATACTTAATATTCAGAGCTGATGGGCTGGAAGAATGTGTTAAAATCTGGCACCAAATATCTTTCTCACCAGTTATCAGTTCAATCATTAGAGCAAATGTATATTTGGATATTATTCACAGATGATGTGTGTGTAAAACTGCCATAAAAGAATGCAACTTTCAAGCCTGAGGAAAAAAAGACAAATGTAATTAATGCTATATATATATATATATATATATATATAGCATTAATTACATTTGTATACTCAATATATATATACTCAAGCTTCACACAACGAATAAATATGACTGGCAAATATGTAAAAAAAAAAAAAAAAAAAGGAATGTTCAGGAAATTTTCAGAAATATAAGTTATTTGACCTGGTTTATCGTCCACCCCCGTACACCCACCCCCACCCCCACCCCCACCCACCCCCCTACATAAAAAAAACAAAAATGGATAATGACTTGAATTCCAATGCCAAAATTCACTACCAAAGAACTGGCACATCTGTACAGTACTGGCATTGTGTTTGCAGTCTTTCAAAAAAAAAGGCATGCAAAGACAAAAACAAAGATAATGGGAAACATCTATTATTACTCCAAAAATACTAGTGGACTTTCATATCTAAGACCATGTGTGGCTAAAGCCATAAGTGAACTGTTATTTCTATAAATCCCACAGTCCACACTTCACTCAATCCTGCCAGGTATTTAAGGAGGAAACTTATTACAAGTGTCCCGAGCCATCATTTCATCAACCTTTCCCTGTCTAAGCTGGAACAGTCATCTTCCTGCTCCTGTCGTGACATTAACGCTCATCCATGACACTTCTGCTGAATGATGCATTAGCTGAGTGCTATCATGGTTTAAACGCTCTCATCATTTCAGCAAAACCAGCCTTTTCCTCTTTCCTTTTTCAGCTCAAGTGACGGGACAGCTGATGGCGGAGAAGTTCTGCTAGCTTTCAAGTTTCAAACCAACCACCGTCATTGTACGTGTGGCCACATGAAGGAGCACTAGAAAGGAAGGGGAAAAATTCTGTCAGCAGCAATGTCAAAAGCTTCAATTCTTACAGAGCAATTAGGGGTTTCATCATCTCCGAGAGGTGTCAGCATTCATTACGGCTCAACAACAGCTAATTGCTTCAAGGTTAAAATTACAGATCTGACAGCATTATTTTAAGTGACAGACTCAAGCTCTGTGATGCTTCACAGT